ATTAGAATAATCAGCCAAGTGACCAGGTGCATCACCAGTTAATGAAAAAAAAAAAAAGCGACGATCCTGGCTGAGGTTGCGAACCTTAGTCGGCAAGTTAGTCTGTTTGGGGGGGCGGCGACCCGAAGTGCAGGCGCGTGTGGGCGAGGCTTAGTCACCCGCTCTAGTCACTGGAGTGGCGAACAAATACGCTGCAACCAGTATTCGCGACGCGCAACAATGCGTGACGAACGCGGGGGGCTCGGGTGATTTCAAGGGGCGGCCGCGATGCACGTGGCGACGCGGATAACGATGAGCGCAGCAGCGCGACTACTGGTGGCCGGCCCAGTGCGCGCAGCGTTTACTAGACCCGCGGGTTCCAGCCAAATGACAGGGCGAAGCAATGATTCGAGACATGAGCGTCGATAGGTTCAAATGCTACATTGTCGCAATGACTTATCGGGGGTCTAGATACTCACATGTATTTCACCGTTTTGAACGCCCAGTCTCAGCGCCCAGCTGGCATGCCACCCCAGCGCAGAGAACGCTGACGCACCGCTGACATGTACGCGTGCTGAGCGGCCCCCAAACGACGCGCTGAAGAATGGGCCATCGCAGGAGCGCTCAGAAGACTCTGCCAATTTCAAGATCGACAGGCGTGGAACTGAGGAGTAGATGTAGCGGGAATCACCGACGCATTGACATGGCGGGAGGACGAAGGGAACGAAGGTTACAAGCGCGCCCCGGAGCGCGCTGCGAGGCCGCGCTCGTCGGCCAAATTGGCAGGTGAATCAAGGCGGCCGCGAAGGCTTCGGGCTGGAGACGAAGCCGCGAGTGCAATAATCGCAAGTGGCCGCGACGGCGAAGCAGATGACCCCTACGACGCGCAGCGCTGCCCAGGGGGCGTCTACAAAGTCGCCTGGACCTGACGAGACGGCGGTGCAGATAGGTTGTTGGTGCCAGGGCCTGAAGGGCTCGCTTGGAGAGCTGCGCGCGCCGAACCAGGCGCGGCCCTCGCGCGGCAGCGAGTTTACAGTGGCTGTGATTCTGAGTGACATGGTGTGGCGTGGAAGGACTGAACTAAAGAGTCTGCCATGGAATTCGCACGTCACCACCGACAGTCGCAGTCACTGCCGCTGACAAGTCGCAGCCGCCCCCGACAGTCACAGCCACCGACGCCACCAATTGAACGCAGTCATGGAGCAGTGGGCGACAGCGGCAGCCACCAGTTGGAAACGCCGCGACTGCGGACATCAAGGTCGGATGAGAATCCCAGCCGTTCGCGCCGCTTGACGCTGCGGAAATTGCGTTTCTATGATCTGTTAATGGTGCATGTGTAATGCGAGTGCGGAGACGGATCGCGGAGAGCGTTGGGCGATACGCTGGAAATTCACCCGCCCCAGGAATGACGGCCAGTGCGTTGCAACATGAGACTGGGTAATCTCATGAACGCCGAGTGCAGGCCGAAGAAGATGAGAGCCAACGCTGGCAAGTGACAGGCATGCACCAATCGGAACGAGGTGGGTGACACGAGCGCGGGGGGGGGCGGCAATATCGAATGTCGGCCAAGACTGGTTTCGCAACAAATTAGCTGCACATTTACAGGAAGAAAGCGTATTTCCGCAGCTACCGGAGGGTCAACGGGCATTTTTCTCCGTGGCCGTTTCTTGGTCACGCAGTGGGTCGACCAGAAGATGGATTCGGATTTCGTTTTGTTGACATCAAGATGGCGTATTGTTAAGCGCTGGCGCTCAATGAAAATGCATGTCAAGCCTCCGCTGGAATAATACGACGGGGGCAAGTGTGGCAAGGTGGCCCAGTCAATTTACGGCACGCGTTTCGCCGCAAGCATGTGGAAAGACCGCTCGTCGAACTATTTGGAAGACCTGGCGTCGTGTCGGGACTTGCATCGCCATGCGCATTGAGCCCGCGAGGATCGACGCTGATAGTTAGCATTGCATATTGGGGACTTGGGGTCCTTACCATGCTGGTCAATGATCAAGGTTCTGATTCGTTCGGAAATACACACAAGAGGAGCGCGAGGCAAAGGCGGGATGGAGGCTTGGGGGAGCGAGTTGCGGCGAGACGACACGAGGATCGGCCGCCCTAGATCTTCGGTCAGCGTTGGGAACATCCAGTGTAGAACTAGCCAGCTCACGAGAATTAGGCAGAACAAGGCACGCGGGTTGAAAGCGCGAAGGGATGCAGAGTAGGCAACCACGAAGAGGCATTGGCCAAGTACGCAAGCAATGCCAGCATGAGCAGGCATGAGCAGGCACATGTAAGGCACGGGGCAGCATCGCGAGGAAGCAAGGCATGCTCTAGGACCACGCGCGGAATGTTCAGGGAACCGCAGCCATCTGCGAACAAGTTCTCTGCGGCCCCAGTCACCGCGACAGGTTGATTTCCTTGTGCCCGATGTGAATCTCGCGCCTTCACCCAGTGTTGCAGATGCGGAGTCGCGCTCGACCTCGTTGCGCTGGGCGCTGCAACTCGACCAGAGGGTTGGCGGCGATCGATTGCCCCGTCGGCCTGCGTCTTTCCACGCAGAAGCGGTGTGCGCGGCGCCATTTTGCAATGACAGACCCGACGGGGCTAAAGTCATTCTCGCCAACGCCATCCGCTAAGTTTTCGAGGGCTGCGCGTTCAAGACCGACGAGACCCACCGCATCGCCGACGATTAACTAGCGCGCGGCAATGAATCGCAGAAGCACCGTGCGGATCCCGAGCAAAATAATATGGACTTCGAGCAGGATGCAGATGATATCCGTATCGGCCAATCTGCGCGGGCAGCTGAACGCGCGGATAGCAGACGTCAGATCCCGCTGCAAATTCCTTGCGTTGCGAAGGTGAGCGGGGCCAGCAACCTGCGCGACAGCGACGGCAGTTTGCAGTCGGTCAACCATGACGTCGGCGAAGCTGCGCTTCAACTGTCAAGGGTAACCCAAGCGGTCGGAGACCAGGCCCCGGTCCCTCACGCTACTGCTGGCGCGTCAGCTCAGGCGCCGCGTCGACAGCCGGCTTGCTTCCGCGCGAGGCGGCGCCGTGACTCGCCTGGCCAATTGAGCGCTTGAGGCCAGGAGGTCAAGCCGACGGACGCACTCGTTGCCGGGCGGCCAAGAGTCCAATCCAGAGCTCAGGGGGCGGACCGAGCGCAAATGCTCCTCCAAGTTCAACGACCAAGGAGCCCGCGAGAGCACTGGCTGACCCGCCCATGCAGCAGACATTGGCTGGCCAAAAGGGCAGGGGGACAGGCGGAGGTAACTGACCATAAAGTAAGCCAGGTGATACGCGCACACCGGGAGCCCGAATTCCTCGTCGCCACCGACGACAGTCTTCGCCGACGCCGCCACTCGCGCCCATCGCGCTGCTGGCCCGAAGTTCGGGGCGACATGCAGCCGGGTCACCTCGTCGAGTCACGCGTCGGCATCGCGTTCCCACCGTGGCACCAGTTGTGCGGCCCGAAAACTCGCGGGGGCCATGTGATACGGCTCAACCGGCGAGTGCGCCAATGGTGGGGTGGCCGCATCGCGGGCCAGTTCGACCGCGAGCCGCGCGAGTAAACCGACCCGGACGGCGACCATGCAACCAGGGAGGTTTGCAATTCTGACCGCGCGATCTTGCAAACCTGACGCAGACATATGCACGCAGCGTACCGATTCGATTATTGGAGCGGCAGTTCTCATGGGGGAACGCGTTGCCCCGCCAGGACGAAAACAGGAAGGCTGTGCAGATGGCCTGATGGCGTTGGCGGTTGCCCCTGGCCAGTTGCATCATCGGTTCTTCTTGATTTCATGTTAATCATTCTGCCAGATACAACGATATTAGAGACATTGTGACCAGCGCGCGGGCATTCCGACTCTGAACCAAAGAGCTGGTTGCTGAGCGCTTCGCCCCCGTCGACGGCCCGCGCGCGCACTGCGCCAGCATCGATGCCTCAGATGGGCGGGTAGTTATGCATGACCGTGGCCTAATGCAGAGACCTTGCGTTGCCTGGTGCCAGACGAACTTGTCGGCCGAGGCGTGCGATGTCTGCGCGCCGAGGTGGCAGCCGACTGGGCGCATCGCATCGTGGCGTACGTTGGCGAGGAATGGGGGCTGAGGGCGATATCGAGCGGGAGGCCCTGTTGCGATCGGAAGACGACATTGGGCGGGCTTGCAACCAGGTCTGGGCGAGCCCTCACTTTCGTATCGGGTATACCGGGAGGTGCCAGGTCAGGGGCCGGCCATGGGCAACGCATGCTCTGAACCATCCCGAGTAATTCGTGCAACAAGTGTGTCAAGGAGGCAGATTCTGGGGCGCGGCAGGATTCAGATGAGCAGATCAACGCGCGGAACGATGACAAGTACAGGGGTCGCAACGAGCATTATCGCATGCTGGAAAGAGGGACGCGCGATTGCAGGGAGCGTTTCGAGGGGGAGGGCAAACGGGCCAGGTCAGGCTCGGTTCACCTACGCCGTGGAAGCGTGTATCGGCCTGCTACACCACGTAGGAACAGATCGGGGATCCCGACGTCACCAAAATAACCTTTGTAGTTGCCATGTTTCCGCTGTTCTAAGCCAGTGGAATTTCTTTACATGCGTGTGTGACAGGAAGCACGCGTTTTTTTTTTTTTTTGAACAGCATTGCCGCACGTTTTACAAGTTGCATGGCTAAAGCATTCGTACTGCTGAGTTGACCCCAGTTTCTGCCAGTCGCCAGGGAACTCCCTGTGTAAGTTTGCGCATGACCAGCACGAACTTGGCCATCAGGTTACAGTGCAGTCCGTGGCGTTGACCCAACTTGTTTTCCACTCGGCGGCACAGGACACGTTTACTTGCAGTGCCATTGTGTATTCGGTGCACTATTTCTGTTCCGTTTGAAGGAGGAAGGGGGACGGAGGAGGGGTCTTCAGGACGAGCAGCCGTATCGGTATATTGCCTTTCTTCGTTTCGTAGCTGGCCGAGACGGACGTCGTGCCCCGATCCGGGGCCCTGGCACGGCGTGCCCCAGGGCGGTGTCGTGGCCGCCCCCGCACCAGGAGGGACGAGGCGCACCTGGCGGGCGACTGCCGGCCTTGTGCGTACTATTTCTACAAGGAGGACGGCTGCCGCTGGGGGGACGAGTGCAGTTTCTGCCATCTCTGCGCGGAGGGTGAGGTCGGTGGGGAGAAATGGCCCCTGCGGGGTGCCCCGCGGGGCCCCCCTTCCCTTGCGGCATCCCCGCGGGTCGCGTGCGGGGGGCTCCTGCGGGCTGCGGGGTCCCCCGCCTTTGGGGGCCTGCGGGGCCCGCTTTGCCGCTCCCCCCTTTCCCCCCTTCAGCCCTCTTTTCCGCCCCCCCCCCGCTCCCCGCTCCTTGTATCCCCCCCCCCGCTCCATGTATCCGCCCCCCCCCCGCTCCTTGTATCCCCTCCCAGCATGAGCATGAATGTCCAAGCTCCGCGTAGTCACTTTGGATGTGCGCAAGGGCCCCTTGTCGGGCGCCGCCTCTGGCGCTCTCTGCGCGCCCGGGGGGGCGCTCGGCGCAGATTCGAAGAATCTGCGCGGAGCTCCGAAGGTGGATGGTTATGTATTTTTTGTTCTGTTAGGGAACGGGGGGGCACAATGGGGAGGGCGAGGTCAAGAAGCGGAAAAAGGAGAAGCACAAGGCCATGAAGATGCAGGCGCGGTGCGCCAGGCGCGGGCGGCCATGCCGCGGGGAGCGGTGACTCCGCCCTCGCGCGGGCGCGATGCAGCTGC